GATCACGTAAATGTGTCGTTAAACCCGCCACCGCCCAGAAATCAAACGTCGATCTCTGGTTTGCAAGTCCAGTCGTGCGAAAGAAACCATTAACACCCCCCCACCACCACCCCACAAAGTTCTTGCCACAAATGAACCACAACACCTGGCTGGATGCGCTTCTGCGGCCGTCTGGAACGCTCTTCCTTCCGATATTATGAAGCCGCTGGGAGCTATGGCACTTTTTAATTATCCAGATGGAAAACTCAGGTCTGTCGAGAAGACAGAGTCTGAATGAGACTCTGTCTTCTCGACAGACCTGTTCTTCACCTGAGGACGGCTGCTTGCGTTGTGGCCGAAACGTCGTGAGAATAATTTTATGATGTTTTATTTTTATTATTTTATTATTTCCATTCTACGTGACTTTACCGAAAGAACCAAGAAGATGATTCCAAGGATGCAACCGCGAGTGTAGGAGCGCATTTTTAAAGGAACCAACCAATGGCACGTGACAAGTTTGATGGCTACATCGGTACGCTCTGGCCAAAAACCACACAAATGGAAAGTTCTTCTACATCTAAAACAGGTAAGGCCCACTGAGCTATAACACATTCCTGCGGAGGGAGCTGGTAGGAACGTTGGGTTGCTCGGTCAATGGCCAGGGTCAACGGCGGCGTGGTGTATTCCGCAAATATGCCCGACTGTGAGGGCGGGTACAAGCCGGCGTGAGTAGGTTAAACGTTGAGTTTTATAAGGGCACCACGGGGTGACCAGCCCCTCCCCACCCTCCCCTCCCAGCCCCTCCCTGCACGACGGACAGACACAATAATCCCCTGTGGGCTGGTGGAACCAGTGGGTTCCTACCAGTACAAGCTCTTTGTCAGCAGTGACTTGGCCACAAGTGAGAGCTAGGCCAGGTGGCTTATCATCCGTGACTTATGCTGCCAGCTATGGCTGCAAAGTTTCGTCGTACATGTTATTTATTATATCGTTTATTGTTAAATTTGAATCACAGTTCCTACGATCACCGTTACATTGTTTTATAACTTTATTTTGGTGATTTCTAAAACGTTTTGGTTTAGCCATATTTGTTTGTTGTAGTACAGAGTTAGCCTGATAACTTTCATCTAAGTTGTCTTATGGTTGTTATTGTTTGACTTGCATCCCACTGGGGTTTGTCCACACAGCGTTGATATGCGGTGCTTTTTCTGGAAGACTTTGCTGTTTTTTCCATGGATTTTTCTGTTGCGCGTATTTAGTCACTTTAAGATGTTTCTAATTCATGTTTTTGTTTGTTGCGGTTGCACCCGATTCAAGAGCCGAATGGCTCACAGGGCTACACCTAATACATGAACTGAAATAAATGAACTGAACGTGGAAATGTACAGCAGCCAAATTACTCTAAACGCATATTTCCTAAATGTGGAGTGAAAAACCGGAGCACCCGGAGAAAAATCCACGCGACCACAGGGAGAGAGAGAGAGACACGTAAACTCCAAATATACAGCAGGCGTCAGTGTCGGGATCGAACCCACGACCTCCTGTAGACCAGGCGAGGTAGTTACCATCTCCCAGCCACAGTGATGATGATGAGAGAGACACGCAAACTCCAAATATACAGCAGCAGGCGTCAGTGTCGGGATCGAACCCACGACCTCCTGTAGACCAGGCGAGGTAGTTAACATCTCCTAGCCACAGTGATGATGATGAGAGAGAGAGAAAGAGAGACACGCAAACTCCAAATATACAGCAGGCGGCAGTGTCGGGATCGATTTCACGACCTCCTGTATACCAGGCGAGGTAGTTAACATCTCCTAGCCACAGCTGCATCTATATCGGGCCTCGTGAGTGTGAAGAGGCAATGAACCGGATCTTAGGTGTTCCTAGTCGCGTGTGTCTCGCACACACACGCTGGTCGACCGGCACTGGAATTTCACGCGCTCGGTTTCTGTTTTTCCACAGTCGCTCGCAATCCACTGCACAACCGAGCCGCGCTGGCGGGCGTGCCGAGCCAGCCCCAGCGCGGCTCGGGAGGGCACCAGTTTGTTTTTCCACTGAAAAAACCGTGCCGTAAGAGGGTTAGATCGCGTAAATATGTGTCGTTAAACCCGCCACCACCCGACGCAGCCAATTAGTACGGTTTCTCTCGCAAAACAAAACGTGTCAATTAGTTATTATTTCAGCACGATGGTTGCGTGTTGGGAGAGTAAACCCACGCAACATTTTACAATCCGGGTCCTGTGACGTTTCACCGGTAATAACGACCAGCCTCATCAGTCGACAACCGTGCCGCGCTGTTGGTCGAAATCACGTAACGAACGAGCCGAGACGCGGGAGGGGTTGGAGGCTGGAGGGGGCGACGCGAAACGATCACCAGTGACATCACACACAATTAACGCGTCATTAGGCCCACTGCTGGTTCCGAGCCAGATGCACACGTGTCTCGCGACACCATCGTATCACGGTTTGGTTCTGGCTCCGCTTGGAAAATAGCCTGTGGAAAAAAAACAAAAACCCCCACCGCTACCGTGAGGGTTCCTTGGCTCGGCTCGGAATGTGTCAGTGGAACGAGGGGCATAGGAAGGCAATCAACTCCACGTTGGGTTTCCAAATCTCGGGTAAAATGTGCCGAGTTAACGGAACCGGTGGTTCCACGCGGAAGATTCCGCAGCCACGCACCACTTGATGGAGGATCAGGCGAAGTTCCTCAATCCATACTCTTAGTTCTTTCGGTAAAGTCACGTAGGTAAAAAATGAAATTAAAATTATTTTTTTACCTACGTGACTTTACCGAAAGAACTAAGAGTATGGATAAAAAATGAAATTAAATTTATTTTTTTACCTACGTGACTTTACCGAAAGAACTAAGAGTATGAATCCTTGCAGTAACGAAAGCTTCAAATCTAGAGATCCTCAATCCAGCTCACAAAAAACAGGTGAGATTCCTCAAACCAGCTCACAAAGACCAGGTGAGATTCCTCAATCCAACTCAGAGATGCGCGCGGTGGTGCGTGGTGGCTGAACGCTTAAGAAGAACAAGCCATGCGTAACACGCGGTCTCTAAACCCCAAACGACTCCGCTGTGACGAACTGAAAGGTTGACAGAAGCGACTTCGTCACACATTCCTCCAGCAGATGCTCGCTGTGGAATTTAAAACATCGAAATCCATGCAGTTACGACCACAACCGATCTCGACAAGAAACCAGCACCGCCGAAATATTTCTACGACCACGGTACAATTAAAACACATGGTGTCTACAATTCCAATAATGTGCCCTTTAACATCGACATGTGCAACGCGGGAAAACAAAACACCTGGGATGGATTGAAATTTTTTATTTCAAATTTTCTTGCTGTGGATTTCACACCTGATGACGATTGCTTGTGTTGCAGTCGAAACGTCGTGAGAATTTTTATTGTTTTATATTTGTATTATTTCATTATTTCCCTTCTACGTGACTTTACCGAAAGAACCAAGAATATGAATACCTGGGATAGAGTTCGTAGATTACTAAGCCCAGAGTCGGGTGCAGGCTAAGTCTACTCCGCTGGAAGCATTTGCTCTGCGTTTTTACCAGAACCCATGGTCGTGGGAGCTTTCATTGAGGTATCAGGGAATAATTCTAGATTTGAAGCTTTCGTGACTGCAAGGATTCATACTCTTAGTTCTTTCGGTAAAGTCACCACGTAGGTAAAAAATGAAATTAAAATTAATAAAAAATTAAACAATAAAATCACGACGTTTCGGAGGTAACACAAGTCTCTGTCATCAGGTGGGACCGTCACAGCCAGATTTGCTGCATCAAGTGAGGCAGGGATTCAAGATGCAAGCTCTTAAGTACCAGTTAAGGGGAGGGGCTTAAGAGCTTGCATCTTGAATCCCTCCCTCACTTGATGCAGCAAATCTGGCTGTGACAGTCCCACCTGATGACGGAGACTTGTGTTGCCTCCAAAACGTCGTGATTTTATTGTTTTATTTTTATTAATTTTAATTTCATTTTTTACCTACGTGACTTACCGAAAGAACTAAGAGTATGTATCAGGGAATACTTAAAAATGGCATGAGCAGTGGGTCCACAACCAAAGCAAAACGTGGAATGGATGCCGCGTTGTCCTGGGACTGGATCTCGACGCTTTGCCCACGCCTGTTGGTGGCTCTCGTGAAAATAAAACATGGAATGAATAATCCACGAAATGGAGGATTAAGTGGAGAAATTTATAGAAATTGAAGATCCGTGAATGGCTGTGAATTAAAAAAAAAACTATGTTAAGAAGATTAAATACTCCAATTGGCTGATCTGAACACGTTTACAAACAATCCTTCTGATTACTCAAACCTATTTGCATAATCGCAGCCAGTCAGCTGTAACGTATCCTCTTGGTGACGGTGAAAACCGTGTTGTTTTAGTTGACCTGAAATTCATCACAGATGTTCACTCGAGCAATGACTTGCTGCCTCAACTGCACCAACAGCACAATCAAGACCCGTCACTTCACACAACGATAACATCCCTACAGCCAAGTGAGCTTCACTCGGTGAGATCTTTCCTTTCCGCCGAGCGGGAGTAAACAATCGGTTTTACGTGTACGTGCTAAAGTAAACCGACGATTTTAGCGACCCCTTTTTTGAGTGCAGCGTGCGATTGTGACAATTTGACATCGAGCAACATCGCACGGTTAATCTCGTCGAGACGCAGAAACTCGGCGGATATATCCCGACTCGTCGGGGTGTAGGCGGGAGTCCGAACATGCTCGGATTTCTCTTCTTGGTTCTTTCGGTAAAGTCACGTAGAAGGGAAAAAATAAAATAATAAAACATAATCAAATAATTCTCACGTTTCGGCCACAACGCAAGCAGCCGTCCTCAGGTGAAGAACAGGTCTGCCATTCAGACGCTGTCTTTCCGACAGACCTGTTCTTCACCTGAGGACGGCTGCTTGCGTTGTGGCCAAAACGTCGTGAAAATTAATGTTTTATTTTTATTATTTTATTATTTCCCTTCTACGTGACTTCACCGAAAGAACCAAGAAGATTAATCCCTGCAGTCACGAAAGCTTTAAATCGAAATTTATGGTCGGATATGTGAGCGTCAATATGCAACGGGCAAACCAGGACTAGGGAGGTGACTGCACAGGAATGAAATTAAAAACCGCTTTAAAACGTGGGAGGAGGGGGGGAAATGCTTTTAATTCGTTTCAACAAATGCACGCGATATTAACAATCCATATCACTGCGCATGAAAATGCCAGATCTGCAAACGCCTATGGAAAATGACGGTGACACTGCATCCAATTACCGCGTTGAGCTAGGGGCGGTTAATTGGCGAGGGCGGACAAGTGACACAGAGACGCGCGGCGTTGTACCGCGTCGTGTCGTCCGCGGGTTAAATCGGTCAAAACAGCCAGGCGAAGAAATCTCCCGACAAGGAGTTGGAAACGAACGCCGCGTACGGTTGACCTTTCGGGATGACCCACTCGAGGTGGAATCCAATTAGCGGACAATGTCACCGCTCGCATCGATCGCCGTCACGCGCCCCCCCCCCCCCCCCCGCGTCTCTAGAGAGAGCGGTCACAAATCGCCCCGAAATCTCAAGTTCTGCTCGAGTCTTCTCGAAAATGTCACCCTCGTCAAATAGTCAGTCAAAGTCACCGAGTGACAGGGATGTCCAAAAAACAAACAAGCGAGAGACAAACTGTAACAGCAACAACAACAGAATAATGCGGCCAAAACAAAGCACAGACATTTATTTTCAGTACTCCTGTTCAGTACTGCACTGCGCGCGTCAATGACTTTCCAGTTGGGCAAAATGCTTTCGTCGGCCAGAGTTACAACAACAACAACAAAAATATGCGTTTCAGTTTGTAAGAGACAAGCAATGGTGCAGGCCTGGGGTCCCACCGTCAGTGAAGCTATACACGTGGCACGTAGCAGGCACGGTTCAGGACCCCAGATGTGTAACGTCAACGGTGCAGCCCTGGCATTGCTCGTCTGTGCCACTCGCGGTCAGGGCCTACCACGAGAGGGCCTTCAAGTCAAGCCCTTCCATAGAGGGTATCTGGTCGACTCATCCACGCGGGCCAGACACATTTGAAGAGATGGGAGTACCCACACTTAACCTCCCACCAACACACGACCTGCTGCTGCCGATCGACTGTGGTGCCACCCAATCATCCTGCAGGATGGACGGATGTGGGGGGGGGGGGGTAGATTTAGAAACCCAGTTAAAATAAACCCGGTTATAATTATTTCTCAAAATGTTGCATGGAGGTGGCTTATTCTGTTATTTAAACCGACTTATTTTCTCATGTAAACGGCGATGTAACATCAAAAGATCTTCTCCAAAATGAAAAAGTTCATCTACAGGCACGTTCATAAAAAGACGGAGGTGGGGGGAGAAGTGAGATATGTAGACATTCAAAAATTGGAAACGATATTGTCTTGAGCCGGTGTTCACGAAGCCATTCGTACGAATGCGGCGACACACTCGCAGCCCCGGCCTTCACCCCGTTGTCAAACGGAAGGGCCACTCCGATCATCGTCCTTCAGCATCTCTCGTGAGACGAGCAGAGAGCATCGAGCCAAGCGGCATCACTTCCTGCGACGTCTCCTACCGATGAAATGTAAATAATAAAAACGATGGAATCAGGGCGTCAAGCCATATACGACATCATCATCATCGCCGATTGGCCCGTAGGTAAAGATAGGCGGGGATTTTATATCGTCCGGTTCACTTCCACAGCAGGGGCATGCGAGGGTGCACAACTTGATATGTTTAAGACGCAAATGCAATCGAAGTGACCTCGGCAGCAGTTCTGTGATGTCATCTTCCGGTGGCCGTTCTTTAACAACGGGGAAGCTGGTGGTGACGTCACAATGCATTCTGTAGGGCGGGGAAGGGGTGGGGTGACGTCACACCACTTTCTATGAGGGTTCCGAATGGAAATCTCTTCGCCTTGGTCGCGCGAATGGAATGTAAATAGCTCAAGTTTTTTTTGTACAGAAAGTGTAGAAACCTCAGAGCCCTGTGGTGTCTCTCCTCATGTGAACGTTGCTAGGACGTCACCCACAGCCTCACGTGGTCAGCCCTGAACTTAAGTCGCGAAAGACAACAACAACAAAAACCTGTTCTTATCTCGTAATGAAAACACAGAGAGAGAGGCAGTGTGTCCGGCTGTTTGATGCAAATCTGAAGCTTTGTTAAATGGGCGAATAAAAAATACTTCGCTAGAGTTTATATTTCGATTTAAAGCTTTCGTGACTGCAGGGATTCATCTTCTTGGTTCTTTCGGTAAAGTCACGTAGAAGGGAAATAAAAAAATAATAAAAAAATAACGCTGTCTTCCCGATAGACCTGTTCAAAACCTGAGGACGGCTGCTTGCGTTGTGGCCGAAACGTCGTGAGAATTATTTTATTATGTTTTGTTTTTATTATTTTTTTATTTCCCTTCTACGTGACTTTACCGAAAGAACCAAGAAGAAAAGTTTATATTTGTTTCACGTCGCCAGAGTTAGCAACACTGACGATGGCGGAACGCTCCCCACGCTTGTCGGTACGTCACCAACGCTCCCCACGCGCTTGTCGGTACGTCACCAATGCTGTTGGCACCGGAGCGCCTTCCCTTCCACGCACATTTAAGGCCCACCTCTTTTAAATCAACCCACTGTTGGTTCAAAGCCTCCTCCGCCCGCACGCCACGCGGATGGTGGACGGGTTGTTGTCCGACCGTACGTCATCACGCTGGTCAGAGCGGAGTTGGTGAAGGCGGAACGTACAAGTGTGAGAGCATAGAAGTACAGCACAGCAAATGGATTTTGTTGCACTGCCCTTTTGCTGCTTGCCGCTACGTAAACCGGCAAAGCCCAACTTGCGTGGCGATCGCCCCCAAAAGCACTATCCAGGCTCAAAACCTGCTCGGCTTCTGAGATCTGACGAGATCGGGCAAAACACCAAATTCCCGGCAAGAGAAGACTTGGCGCGGCGTAATTTCCACGCTTGTTAAATACGCCGCCGTAGACACGTTCCTGGAACACGTTCCTCCAAGGCCGTGTAAAATTACGCTTTCTCAACACTCTTGCTTCAAGACGCACGTGTCGCGCACCCCAGGGGCACAAAGCCGCCAAAGTTGCGTAACGGCAAGATAGGAGATTTCGATTTAAAGCTTTCGTGACTGCAGGGATTCATCTTCTTGGTTCTTTCGGTAAAGTCACGTGACTTTACCGAAAGAAACAAGAAGAAGAGAGGAGCTGTTTTGGTTATTGATCGTTTCCCTTGAAAGGAGCCGTGAAACCACGCGATGTTTGTGCGAAGCCCTTGGCGAATGGTGCAACTGTTTCGCGAGCAACGCCGTTGCATTTCAACGATGGAAATGAGCATTTGTCTCGGTTTTTGTTTGTTTGTCGGCATTTCTTTTGTACAGTGCTCTCTCTTCACTACACCCCACCTCTCCCCCCTCAAAGAGTGATGGGTGGCAGATACAGGCTTTTAATTTTAGCCTGGTCTGCCCAGCGTGTCGGAAACCCGGGAAATATCCCCGCACCTAGCACACCACATGCATGATGTGCATCGCTGCGGCGGATAGGTTCACGCAAAAATTTCAAAAGAAATTAAGCCCCGTGACAGAAGAAGAAAAAACGATGTGCGCGAACTGTAAACGATCGATGCTTACGCGAACGAACCGATGCGCGTTGCAGCAAGCGTCAGAATCCACGAGATTATTAAATCGATAGGGACCACGCGGGGAAAATTACCACCCCTCCACCACCCTTGTCGTCGCTGTGCAAACGAGCAGACAGACATCCCTTCTAATGCGGCAAGAGCAACGCGCAATGGTTTAGCATACGGTACACGCCACAGCCGGCACGCGAGGCTGTAACGGCATGGCTCAAAGGTTTGGCCCGACACCTCGCGCTCAACCGATAGGTTCATTACTGCGGTATTGATTGGCAATGTTGTTTCGGCGGATCGTTAAAACGGCGCGTACTTCCACGCGCTGTTGCGAGCCGCTCGAATCGAAAAACACTTTCACCGGCCCGTATGAAATGTAACATCATCTCCGTGCGACGGACAACGGGACGAAGCTCGGCGTAAAAAGTTAAGCCTTCGTTTTTCCGTACAAAGTTAAATAAAATAAAAATAAACAGAAGAACCCTGGGCGGGATAAACCCGCAATCAGGTCTCTCGAAAACGATCAACGAATTCTACGCAACAATACTGATTCCATGGCGGTATCGGGGGGTTTCCCTTCAACTGCCTGCTACAACATTTTACACTTTTTACTCAGTAACTGCAACAAGGACAACACTTAAATGGGGAAGACGATGACCAACTCGCACGCACACACAGGTCGACCGTGGCTCAGAGACCCACACGCACACACACACAGATCGGTGGCCATTGTGTTGCTACACACACACGCACACTTCATTGGCAAGGTGAGTTTCACAGCAAGACGTGGGGGATGGGGGGAGGGGCAAAAGTAGTCCATGGGCCCAAACCGAATATTTCACCTGTTCGTACAAGATTCGTAGGGTGGCGCAGTGGTAAGACTTGGGTTCGATTCCCGACACAGGTTTGGAGTTTTTAGGAGTTATTTTGTCTACTCCCCCCGTTATGCATGGGGTTTCCCTCCATGTTCTCTGGTTTCCTCCCGTAGCTAAGAAAAAAAAAGACATCCAATGTAACTGATTTGATCCAAACATCGCAATGCTGATAAATTACTCAATTGAGGCTACACAACGCAGTAGCAGCAGCAACGTCGCCCCCAACTTTGAAACCTTGTCAAGGACCCTCTTGAAAAAAAAAGCGTCCTGAGACTCGGTGAGGCTTTCCTGGGTAAACAAACGAAACGATAATTATAATAATGGTGCCGTCTGTGGATGGTTAAGCTAGAGTTGGACCAACATCTTTAAATGGCCAATAAAAGTGAATGATGCAATAGCCCCGTGTACCAAGTACGACGTTATTACACAATCCGTCGTTATTAACCATGTAAAGATCTGGATATCACCGAATATTTTCCACCTCTACTGGTACCCAATTCCGCTCTGGCCTGGCCCATGGAGTCAAGGTGGTCTTGGCGAGACGCTGACCGCCTGAATTAGGAAGCTACCCCGTGCCACTCGAGATCGCACGACCAGCCCAGGTGCTCGTGTCAATAAACCCCGACCTGTCTCGCACAGCCACAACATTATCATCGTCATCATCATGATAACAGAGACAAAGAAATTCATTTTGTTGGGCAGCGCTCACACCTCTAGCTGGTCGCGTGAAGATTCCACATTTCCGGTGACAATCAACGAAATCCGGTCGTCGCCCTGCGGCGCAAGACCACGGTCGCCGGCATCCCACAGAGACGGTAGCTCAATACGTCCGGCAATACATTTGGGGGGCAAGTACGGCACCTTAAACGAGACCCGGCATGGAGTGAGAGGTGCGGGTTTGTCTGGCGACTCCGACCTTCGGGGACAGAGCTACGACGACCGCCGTCGGGACGTGGGCCTGAACTCGTGGCAGTACCGGAACGGGCTGATGGGGGGGGGGGGGGGGAGGGGTGCACAGGAGCAGCTTTGCCTCGCTCATCCCCGGCAGACGAGAAGCATCCGCAGGGAGCCACACGGTGGCAAGCAAGCGGCACGGGCGACCGGGACCGTCACGGCAGCTCCTGGGCGCGGGTGCTGACGAGTTGACGGACGGACGGACGGATGGACGGGCGGTTTGGAAAAGCGGTGAGGCGGAGGGAGGAGCTGGTGCTGGGGGAGTGGAAGGACCGGTGTGTCCGTCGCCACCGACCGACCACCGACGTAGAGGCGCGTCTGGCGGCACCCTCCGTTGTCGGCGTCGCAAACGGGAGCCAGCGAAACCGGGAAACTCCGGTGCCTCAGTTGGTCCGGAGCTGGTAGTCTGGTGCAACAGCGACAACGCAGAAGGATGCAGAAAAATACAAATTATATGTTTCAGTTTCAGTTTTCAGTTTCATTTATTTGGTATAGCCCTGTGAGCCATTCGGCTCATGAATTAGGTGCAACCGCAACAAACAAAAAACAAAAACATGAATAAGAAAGCATCTTAAAGTGATTATGTACAAACAGAAAAATCCAGGCAAAAACTTCAAAGTCTTCCAGAAAAAGCACCGTACACCAACGCTGTGTGCAAACATCCCAGTGTGCAGAGTCAATAAATGCAACCGCATCTCCAGACGTTGTACAGACACGGTGGGCATATTCATTTCGTAGAGAGAGGCAGTCACTCAGAGGCAGAGGGAAAAAAAGGAGTTCTTGAACCTGGACTTGGGAGCAGAGAGTCAAGCAGCACGGATGGTTGGGAGAAAGGAGTTACAGCAGAGGAGAATGAGTGACCTCCCCACTGAGCAAAGGTCGACCGGAGGCATCAACAGAAAGCCGTGGTTGCCGGAGCGGAGAAAGCGCGCGGAGTGGAGCGAGAGGGGTGAGGAGAGTGACAGGGAAGAGATGAACGAGCACAGGGAGCCGACAAGAGTGAGAAGAGGTGATGTTTACCAAGTGACATTTGCAAGTCAGCTACTGTGCAAGCTTATGGCAGGGTTTCCCAAACCATGGTGTCATGAATACCGGAGGGGTCGTGTTTTAGAGGCCCGTTAAGGGTCGTCACGGGGGGGCCTCGCGTTGCAGCCGGAGCGAGCGGCGAATTAAAAATAACATGGCATGGGGAGTCTCCAAAGAGGCAACGGGCTTTGAAGGGTGGTGTGAGTTACAAGTGCTTTGGGAAACCCTGGCTTACTCTAAAAAGCCTGCTGCTTGTGTACACGTACGTTACGCCAAAAAATTAAACTAAAACCGTTACTGGATATTTTTATTTACTTGCTCCGTTTGGGAAAACACTTATTTTCAGATTCATGCCGTGGTCAGAAAGAGGTGTTGAGAAACATCCCTATTTTTGCTGGGCTTAACGCAGCAAATAAAAGTAAAACATTTTTATCACTTGGCCCAATTTGATTCCGACTGTGCCATCGACGTCACGCCGCGAGACGAGGCCTCCGTTCGGATCCCTCGCGGGGGCAGTGCCACGCTGCGTGCCAGCCAACGGCCCAAATAAGCAGATTAGTCAGGAGGTGCCACCGAAGATTAGCGGGATGAAAGCAACACACACGAGAGGGAGAGAGAGAGAGAGAGCTGCAAACGAGATGTACAGGTTGGCGGCCACACGTAGGAACGTTATGATGCAACAAAACTCATGACACATAACGCTGTCCCCGTTCACGTAATATATGACGTCACGTAGATTACCCGCAGTAAAGAAATCAGTATTGGCAACAGATTTTACCTGTATCTTATTAATAATGGGAAACTAGCAGCTTGCATGTCCTACTCCCTCCCACTGACGCACCCTCCAGCTAACTACCCAGCCAGCCAGCAAAACTTTTGTCTAATGTAGCATGAGAGTATGACAGTGTATCCCACACATCTGCATGGGATACATGACCGGGGTGGAGGCTGGCTGGTCGGGGGAGGGAGAAAAAGCGTGACGTCAGCACGTACAAACCCGGCTCAACGCCTGTGGGATGCGGGTGCCGTCATAATCACGCCAGCCAGGAATCCAGCCTGCAAACCTTTTCCTAACATTGTATGACGATAACAATAATTCTATTTATGATGGGCATTGTGTAAATGCCTCGGCAAATCAAAACGCCTTCACGTCACATCTCATCTCCAAACATTCGAAGGGGTTAACCACCCCCCTCCCCAGTGGCAGCCTGCAAGTGGTCATTCATCCTGCCAGTGCAATAATTGCTGTGTGTGTGCGTACGTATGTTGAACTTATGGAGTAATTTGTAACGTAATTATAATCACACAGGGCTGCGGCGACAGGGCACGCGGGTCTCTCACCTCCGTTTTGCGTGATGTAGCGCACCCACGGCAGGGCCTGGTACCCACTCTTTTCGATGATCTTCAGGTATCGCACCTGGGATGCGCACAAACAACAAAAGACACAAGAAACCTATTCACCACAGTAGACTGTTGAGGCAAGTCCTGTTCGTGAAACCCCTACTACGGAGGCCAGCGGATAATAGGAATCTGAAATATTGGACACGGGTCACAGAAAACAGAAGAAAAACAGAACATTGCATAATGAAGTAAAGGGAAGGATGTGTGCTTGGATTTACTGAAAAACAGACAGGAAGGCATGGATTAGAGGAACATCACATTGAATGTAAAGAAAAGTAAGTGGGCTTGGATAGAACACGCCATGGTTATAAAGGAACAATGGCCGGTGTTCAAGTCTTTGACAGCCAAAGGAGAGAACAGGCCATAGAGAACGTGAACCGAGGAAAGATGGAGAGAGATGAAAGCAGCTTTTGCGCAGGAGCTTGACAGATTGTTGCGTCATGGAAAACACGCGAGATCACGATGGCTGGGGGAGGCATTCATCCAGCAGTAAAGAGACCATGGGCTGTTGCACGGTGCAGCCGTTTCCATCACGCACCGTAGGCTTTTAGGGGGCTTCCCACCTTCAGGAGGTGGGATGTCGGGATTGCCATAATTTTACAGGTAGGAACAACAGTTCCACACTGCCCACCAGGGAGTATTTGTCTGTCTGTCGTGCATGGCCATGCCCTCGATTTGTATTTCATAGAGCGCTTCAGGGCGGGCTCAGCACCACGTGACGAGCCGCCCCATGCAGCTTGCGCCCCGTGACACGGATCACACGAATGCGCTGTCCAACCAAGTTCCTACCTGCCCACTCCGAAGGAACGTGTTTATAGGGGCCCCCGAGTACCAGACCACAAAAATAGAGCAATCGAATACAAAACATCAGTCGATTTAATCGACCGATACGTTTAGGCGCTTCTGCTCCACGCGCTGGGAGCTTCTCGAAGAGTTCCCGAGATCTGTCACAGCCCGAGCCTGAAAACCTACGCAGCCAAATCGACCGATCGTCACGGTTCTACGGTAGACGTACAACACCGCGGGATAACCCCGCTGGACAGAGGGGAGAGAGGGGCTGTACCTGTATGCCCGACGTGGTGAAGTATGGGATCTCGAACTTGACCGTGATGGGCGGCTTCCCCTCCTGCACCTCGCTCTCAACGCTCGGGAGGCCGAAGTGAGCACGCATCAGGAACTCCTTACCGCCCTGATAGATGCAACGCACGCACGCACGCACGCAAAATCTCGTGGGATATCGGCGCAAAGCGTCATTTCAAGTTCAAGTTTAATTTATTAGGTATAGCCCTGTGAGCCATTCGGCTCTTGAATCGGGTGCAACCGCAACAAACAAAAAACTAAAACATGAACAAAAAACATCTTAAAGTGAATATGTGACCGAGTACAAACAGAAAATCCAAGAAAAGACAGTAAAATATTGCAGAAAACCACCGTACACAAAAATGTGCAAAAATCCCAGTGGGATGCAAGTCAAACAACAACAACCACAAGACAACTTAGATTAAGGCCATCAGTCTAACTCTGTACTACAACAAACAAACATGGCCAAATCAAAAAACTTATCGAAAATCACCAAAATTAAGCCATTTGCGAGTGCCTGAAACAAAAACTATTTAAAACTATTTTTTGTATTTAATTCAAAAGGTAAGGCCCACTGAGCTGTATAGCTCTTTTTCAGAAGCGACCTCGCTATCACAATTGACAGCTAAATGATGTGGCTTATCACGTGGAAATGTATAAGCAGCCAAATACGGAGGACTCGTAGAAATATCCACGCGACCACGGGGAGGACATGGAAACTCCAAATATACCAGGCGTTAAGGTTCGAGATCGAATGCACGACCTTCTCTATACCAGACGAGGCAGTTAACATCTTGCCACTGCTGCAATCTATTTTAGACAGGCATGGCACATGTAGGGGTGGTGACCCGGCCAAGTCACCACTCCCCACACAAACATCACCAGGGTTACACAAAACCACTGGTCGCACAGCAATGTGCCACTGTTCACCACACAACCCCCATCCCACGAGTCGATTTTACCGCACACACACACACACACCCATTCCACCCCTCCTCACAAAGATAAAGATCCCCCGTATGGCCTTAACAGACTGTAGAGGCAAGTGCTGTTAGCGAGCACCTATGAAGGCCGGCACGGCACACGAGGGGGTGGGTGGCCAACATCACGCCCGGCCGCACACACACACACTCACACACCTCTATAATATTACTACCACTCTTCACACACACACACCAACACGCCACTCTTCACACACACACACAAACCACGAGAACACTATAATTCACACTCGCACGCCACTAACATCCACGGCCTTTATAGTCAATCCACTGCTGAATAAAAGTCGCCTTCCCATGCTGTGCAGATCATGGAGGTCCCTTGATCTAACTCGAGCACGCTGGTCAGTATAGGTTGGTAAAGGCAAGGAACCATAGGGCGGTGAAGCATTGGTAAATTCCAATGGATTTTGTTGCACTGCCCTCTGCTGACAACAAAGCACCACAACACCAGGAACGCCAACACAATACACAGACAACAGCCGATATTCGCCACAGTGTGGCAGTGATGTTACCATAGCGCCGATGCCAGGCTAAGATGCACTTTGTGGCCATGTGATGTGTCGAAGACTCGCTTGCAGGAGGGCTTGGGACAGACTCGGGGGCTATGGGTTGACTGAGATGACTGGTATATGCACCACCTGTGCCCCCCTATTGTACTAACTTCCTGTATTTTATCCATCCGGCATATAATGCCACTCTTTACAGAAGAAACACATAGCAAGTGCTGTTAGCGAGTACCTATGAAGGCTGGCACAGCACACGAGGGGCAGGTAGCCAACACCACGCCTTTGTCTCCCAGTGCCGATGCTTACACACCGCACAAGGTACTCATTTAATGCCGAGTCCACCTCGGAGAGGCCCCCCCCCACCTCCGGACCGGTTAAAACATCCACCACTGCTCATCTCGTGACGCACGCACGAGACGCGTGTGCAAATACACGTGTACCGACTCAATGAGGCGGGGCTCGCGTCGTACCGGGAAGGACTTGACGGACCAGAGGATGGAGCTGGTCTCAGGGACCCACTTGATGGTTCCCACACTGGTCTTGAACTTGGGCGAATCTGCGTCGTTGGGAACGGGGATCTGGATCTCCACATTGCTCGCCGTCGAGCGCCGCTTGAACTGGCTCTTGGCCTGCGCGCAAGCAGATCCAGCACAAGGCAGCCCTCGTCACTAATTTGCCGCTAACACAGCGGTCAAAGCGTTGATTAACCCCCTTTCCCATTCCGATGAGATACGGGCAAGTCATAGAAAACAATTACTTTATTGGTATTAGGTTTGTACCCTTTCAACTGGTACAAAAACTGACACCTTAATACAAGGCATCATCTGGTCCAACACCAATGGAGACTAGGCTCTAAGAAAAGCTGTCTCGGGTGTGGACCAATCAACTTCAAGGACAGTGCATATCATTATCATTATCAGAGTTGTTTCTTTTTGTTTGCATTTTGACTGCTTGTGTTGTGGTTATTGCAAACATGATGCCTTGTATAAAGGTGTCAGTTTTTGTACCAGTTGAAAGGGTAAAAACCTATTACTATATTTTGCCACTGGTAAAGGTGATGTCTCATACTTTATTGGTATCGAGGCTCCCGTGAGGCCATGCGGTGAGGGTGCCTACTGGACATCTGTGAAGAAGAGCTTCATAGCTCATCAGATAGCATCAGAATATTTATACTGGAGCTATGTGGCACAGTTTGGCACCAGCTATCATAGAGTGCAGTCGTATCGCTGCAGTTCTCTGCGGTGAGTACGATGTATTCAAAAACAACTGCGCTACCGCTCGCGCGTTCCAAGATTCGGCGGCGAACGGGACCCACCCGCACCTTGCAGTCGTCTCGGAATGGAAAAGGGTTCAAAACACTTTTCTCGAGGCGCGTTGGGACAATGCCTTTCACGATCGACTTGGTTCGTTTAAACTTCATCATTTTTATCGGAGTCCACCTTTAATCAGCACCCTTGGTGTACGACGTGTTCTCTACCGCTCTCTCTTGAGAGTGGAGGCCCTCCTGCCAGCAGTAGTGAAAAGCAAGCCATTTCAAGTAATTTCAAAACCCTTACGATTAGAATTATTAGTGTTCTCTGCTGCTGGCTTTGGGAATCCCTCCCTGCAAAAATGGGGGGGAGGGGGGGGGTGGGTACGGTGGGTAGCACTCGCGTACCTTGATCATGATCTCCACGCGACTGTGCGAGTGTTTCTCAATCACGGACTCTATCCAGATGAGCGGTTTTACCTGAAACGGACGTTGATAAAATGGAACAAAAAAAGTAAGATGAGAGAGAAAGTGGGCTGTTGAATTCCATTCCTGCAGATGCTCCCAGCACACACTGGAGCAAAACATCGGACGTCCACATGCCAAACAACAACACACGTTACTACCGGCAACAACACACGTTACTACCGGCAACAACACGCGTTACTACCGGCAACAACACGGCGGTGTGCCGCACGGCAAAGTGCAGTTGTGGCCCCCTGGTAATGAAAACATTCCCTCTTCTTTCCCCACACACATACACCTGCTCTCACGGCCACAACCACGGTTCCTGTGAACGTCCACTCATCGATTCCTCCAGCCATGCGTGTCGAGGGCTCGGCTCTCGACCAGACACCGACGGTTTCTTGTCATTCCACACGGTGTTCAGCCACCCACACTCTGCGATGCATTTTCAAACCTAGAGTTTTAAAAAATTATTTATTTAGAATTGCTTAGTGTGTTTAGTTTGTTGTCCTTCCCCCCCCCCATCCCACCGCGCACCTTCGATTAGCACGGTTATGGTGTGACAGAAGCTCAACATACATAAATACCGCACCTCCGATTAACACAGTTGGCTACGTACGGTGCGAAAGAAGTTCAAAATACATACACGTCACACTCACCTCCGCTTCTTCTCTCACAATGCTCCACTTTGCATTCACTTTCATCGTCTATATCCCCCCACCCCCGCCCAAGTTCCGATAAAACCTTGCTTATTCCCACAAACGTATCAACTCTGATGTTGTACAGCGTTCTGTGATCCATGGATGAAGAGCACTGTGTAAGTCAATTTTATTTTTCTCGATTAAAACTTTAATGGTGACGTTAGTTCATGGCTGCATGGAAATGTGGGCCTTTGCTCAGCAACTATGATGTATACATGTTCGGCGTACAGGGTGGCCACAAAGTCCCTTTGCATGCAATATTAGTTTTATTTACTGTATTTCCAGGTGAGGTTTCAACATGGCAGACATTCACGAGTTTATACAGGTAGGAACAACAGTTCCACACAGTCCACCAGGAATTATTTATCTGTCTGTCGTGCATAGCCACACCCTCGATTTGTATTTCATAGAGCGCTTCGGGCGGGCTCAGCACCACGTGACGCGCCGCCCCACGCAGCTTGCGCTGTGTGACACGGATCGCACGAATGCGCTGTTCAACCAAGTTCCTACCTGCCCACTCCGAAGGAACGTGTTAAGAGAGGGAAGGATGAGTAACTGCACGCCGAGGATGGAGGGCAGCACACGGAGCGATTCGAATAAAGGTACGTCATCTCTTTTTGTCATGCCGAGGGACTGTGGCTACCCTGTATACATATACGGTAAATCCTCGCAACACATTTTCACTGTAAGGCGGTTCTTCCAATGCTTGGCATGCTACGTGGAACGCGGTTCTTCCAACGCTTGTCATGCTCAGCCGTACGCGCCTATTTTAACGTTGAACGTGCACCGTTACAACACAGTTTTCTGAGCAGTTGACGAATTACTTTCTTAAGCTGTGCGGGCGAGTGGCATGATGCAAGACGTGGAACGATACGGTAACGCGATGGCATACCTTCAATTATTTGCCCCGCAATCTCACCGTCTGCGTACATCGCATCTTGCCAAACTTTATCGTTACATTATTTATCGTTTTCGCTTCGGCGCTTTTTTTTTTTACGCGGCACTTTTCAGGAACGTATCTCCCTTGTTAAACGAGGGCTTGCTCCGTGTGTGTGTGTATAAAGGTTCCGGACTCACGTGCGTGTTGAGGCGGTAGCTCATGAGCTCAAACTCGCCGTCGGGAGGGATGAAGGAGATGGTGCGGTCGTTCTCAAAGCGTGACAACCGAACGCACTGGTGGAACTTCACGTCTTCCAGCTCCACCGACTTGCTCTTTCCCCCTGCGGGAAAAAGGACACCGACCCCCCCCACCCGTTAATCCCACTGGGGTGCGGTAATGAAGCACCGGTTCATCGAACGAAAACGAATCCGCAATTCGACGTTAACGTGATAACGCCGCTCATGCTGACGAATTCCTAGTGACAATCACAACTTTTTTTTGTTATTCTCACCAACTCTGGCTGTCGCCTGATGAGGCTGCTTGTAATTACCGGCAAAAGGTCGTACTCCAATTGTTCATGTTGTGGGTTTAATCTCCAACTCACTGGTGTGCTGAACTTGTAACGAAATGGCCACGTTTTGTTTACGTGACAAGACTTGATAATAGGTCGTGTCGGGCGGTGGCGGGTTTAACGCCACATTTTTAGTTACGCGATCTAACCCAAAAAAACCTCTATTATGGATAATATCTTCTTGGTTCTTTCGGTAAAGTCACGTAGAAGGGAAATAATAAAATAATAAAAATAAAACATAATAAAATACATTCATTCTTTGGTTCTTTCGGTAAAGTCACGTACAAAGATAAAATAATAAATTAAATAATATCATACGACGTTTCGATTGCAACACAAGCAATCATCATCAGGTATAATGAAATAGCGACACAAAATCTAACGAGAAAACCACAGACAGACATATAAGCAGACAGATATCACCAAGATACACAGAGAGAGCAACACAGGTACAGAGAGGGGTGATCGTCTCTGTGGGGTGGCCTTAAATAGACAGAGGGGGGCGGAGGCAGAGAGAGGGAGGGGTTAGAGAAAAAATGTACATGTCAATGAGTACGAAGAGACGCGTAGTAAAGTACGCAGGCTTAGAGGGAGAAAGAACACACTAAATTAAAGCTCCAAAATTAAGAATAATAAAATACAATTCTCATGACGTTACGGCCACAACGCGAGCAGCCGTCCTCAGGTGAAGAACAGGTCTGTCGGAAAGACAGCGTCTGAATGAACACCACCAAGCTTGGCAGCGCATATTTAAGCTGGGTTAGGGAAGGAAGGAATTCCTTTGTCAAGACTTTACCGAAAGAAACAAGAAGATGAATCCCTGCAGTCACGAAAGCTTTAAATCGAAATGGATAATATCGTCGTGAAAGCCGACGTGCAAAACTTTTTTGTTCGTTTTCTTTATTATGACAAGAACCCAGCATAGAGAGCGCGGGGGCAACAGAAATCCCTGTGGGCCGAAGCCCGAAACACAGTGCACGCTCACACGGGTTTGGGGGGGGAGCATTCGCAACTTGTTAATAGAGATGAGCGGGGCTCCCCTCGGGATTCACCGCGGCGTGCAAACGTCGCGTTGACAAGACGAGGCAAGCGAGCATTCCACTGCTCCTGAATAAAACATATTGGCGAGGCGACACACAGCACTCGGGCGATGCCGATTAAAAAAACATTGCCAATTCCATCACAGCTGTGTTAGCCGAATGTTTTTTTTATTTATATTTCTAAGCGGTCGCTGAGCACAGGCCCAAAAGCCCAAACCGTCAAGCGGCCAACAACGGCACGATCAAAGTGTGCGACGCGTAAGAACCGTGGATGTTTTTTGTTTTTTTAAACGAGCGAGGTTATTACGGGGGCTTAGGAAAAGGCGGCAGTGGGGGAGGAATTCCCGGCGCAAGGGAAGAAGCAGAAGAGGAAGCGTTGCTGTGGCCTGCAGTGTGGTGGCTGAACACTGGTATGCATGAGTCCGTGCAGTCAGTCCGATTGGATTGACGTTTCGCTCCATGCACCGGGAGCTTCCCGGGGAACAGAAACTCTCGCGCATTCAAGAGTTTTATACGCCAATTCACTATCGTTTCAGCTTCTGACATTCTGAATCTTATCGAGGAAGTAAAGGATAAGGTAACATATTCTTAGGTTTTTTCGGTAAAGTCACGTAGATAAAAAAATTAAAATTAATAAAAGTAAGATAAGAATAAAATAAAAAATAAAAAAATGTGATTTTAATTTTACTTTTTTTATTTGATTTTGCTTTTTTTTATTTTATTTTTTTATCTACGTGGCTTTACCGAAAAAAACCTAAGAATATGAATCCTTGCAGTCACGAAAGCTTCAAATCAAGATAAAGTAACATTTCACTTCCCGGATTTTATTCCGACTTCCTGGACGACGCTTGACATAGTTTCAAGCGAAACGCTGCGTCCAAATGCTAAATTTGTTTGTGAGATTCTCAACTTACCGGTGAGTGAGACATAACAATAATAATTGGTGCATTAAACGCTCGTGATGATTAAATTTGTTTGGCTGTGTCAGTGGAGGGAAGGGGGGCGGTAGAGTGTCATACCGACAGATTGTTAATTGGCATCCCTTCAACAAATATATTATTTATAACGGTGGTTCTTAACCCTGGGGGTGTGAGATGCCCTTTCTGGGGATGCGAGACCTCGCCAGATTCTTTAAGAAGGGTAAACCATCAAAACACAAATTCAGCACGGGCCAGTAAATACAACTACTTGGTTTCATCAAACCTGTGTATTTATGAACATCAGAGATGTTTTACTGATTGAGAACCAAAGCGGTGCTAGGCTGCAGTAAAGGTAAAGAACCACCGATTTCTAACAATGAACAGCACAAACTAAAAACCAATGTCATCTCTCTCCCACCACCGTTGACTTTGAGCCGGGTCACACGAAGCCACTTACGTCCGGTATTTTCAAAGAGGACTTTGTCATTGAGTCCCAGACGCAACTCGGGCATGCCCGACAGGAACACGCGCATCTTGATGCAGCCCACGATCTCGCTCCGCAGCACATTGCCGTTGGCGCTCACCTGCTCGCACAAAAAACCGAGCCATCCCGTCATTAACGTCATAACACTGCGTCGTCGTCGTCGTCGTCCTCATCGGCAGCAGTCGCATGTCAATCCAATGACGGATGAGGTTCTTCCCGAAACCGCTGCCATCTCTCGCAATCTGGCGACGTAACAATCCATCGAGCAACCGCACACACGAGATGATCTCTTGTGCCGTTCCACTCCTCGGCTCCCCCACTCCTTCCAAGCGAGCAGTTGTGCAACAAAAAATGCAATCGACGTATTCAGAATCAATTAATGTTTGGCAACGTGCAGCACGCGATGCAATAACGTCGCTAGAAACCGCCGAGCAGATGCTCGAAAGCACACCGTCTCTACCGTAAGCAAATGGTTGCACGACCACTCGCAACCGGTTGCAGCGAGATCCCCCACTTTGCCAAACGTCGTCGATGGCGCCGCCTCACCAGCAGATTAACGGACTCGATGACGTCCAGGAAGACCTCGTTCTTGCGGTACTTGATCCCCTCCGACCGCCACGACACCGCGTTAGTGACGGTCGCGGGGAGCTGCGGGGCCCCGACCTCCAGCTTGTGCCCCTCCTGAGTGATGTACCTGTCAATCACGGGCAACAGGAGGCGTGCCAATGAGCCAGGTGTGGACCAATCACAGCAAAGAGGGGCGGAGTCCCAGAGACCGAGGAGGCAAAGCAGTGTTATCAGCAGTGGTCATGAAACGAAGTGGAACCCGACACAGTGGAATTCTTCTTCTTGGTTCTTTTGGTAAAGTCACGTAGAAGGGAAATAATAAAATAATAAAAATAAAACATAATAAAATTATTCTCACGACGTTTCGGCCACAACGCAAGCACCGGTCCTCAGGTGAGGAACAGGTCTGTCGGAAAGACAGCGTCTGAATGAGATTGAATAAGATTCAGACAGTCTTTCCGACAGACCTGTTCTTCACCTGAGGACGGCTGCTTGCGTTGTGGCCGAAACGTCGTGAGAATTATTTTATCATGTTTGATTTTTATTATTTTATTATTTCCCTTCTACGTGACTTTACCGAAAGAACCAAGAAGATGAATCCCTGCAGTCATGAAAGCTTTAAATAGAAGTGGAATTCTTTTCAGGAAGTTAGGTCAGCCACACACATGCACGCACGCAATAACCCAGGCAGCCACAACTTCTTCTTCTAACGCGCCTGCCTGTTTTCACAACTACAACCAACTGTTTCTGAGCCTCATTTATAAGAAATTGAGCCAAACTATGCTGCTGCTATTGACCTACGAGCCAAAATGGGCGGCAAACATCTATTATTTATTTACGTATTAAAAGCTCACTTTCTTCAGGACTGTAAGAGATGAGAGGTCGTCATCCAGCAGTGGATAAATCATGGCTAAAAGGCGATTACTGTTATTGTTATGAGAGTTAGACTACAAGGTATATGGGAGAAACTCACAATATCAAAGATTTATATACAACACACATTGTCTCTTGTGTGTGTGCTGTGCGCAAGTGCTGGTGAATAGCAGCAGTCCACTATAAGACAAATATCCCCCTTATAGCCTTAACAGACCGTTGGGGCAAGTCTTGTTAGCGCGCATCTATGAAGGCCAGCACGGCGCACGAGGGGGTGGCCAGCACCATGCCCATCTGCTCTTGTCTCCTTAGTGGCGATGTTTACACACCGCACCAGGGTACTCAGTTGAGGCCGAGTCGACCTAAGAGAGGCCCAGGACCGGTTCAAATAAACGTCACCGGTGTTGGCCGCGAGCGGGAATCGAACTCGGGTCACTGGGTTCGTAGCGCAGCGTGCTAATTGCTACACTACCACCACCACCACCACCCCAGTCCACTTTGTACACAAATACACCAACAGAGAGGCTATAGAAAGTACTGCAATGGTCTCCCTTGGTGTCTTCAGTTAAATTCATATTACATGAGCATGTATTGTTGTTCACCAGCAGAGAGAGGGTTTGAGTGGTATCCCAGAGCACTCTGGTATGCTTGCAAAAAAACTAGAAATAATTGCCCAAACACACCAAGCAGGGCACTGGCAAAAAACAATGTTACATAACCTTACAAACAGTAGCCCACGCTAATTATAATTTTCATCACTTTGTCAATCCATTGCTGGATGAAAGCCTCCCCCCCCCATGCCATTGCCATCTAGCACCCGCGTACAAGCCGATTAAATTTGATATTTCATATGAGAATAAAAAAAAAATGTATTCTTAAACTGCATCAATCGTAAGTGGAATTGATTTTAAATTGACGAATCAATGCATCGTTACATGGATGGAAAATACGGAAAACCCAGAGGGGAGAAACACATTCTGCACCGGCCTCGAACGCCAGCCACGTTAAATAGTTCCACGCCAGGGCAGACCCCCCCGTGTAATTCTAGATTTGAAGCTTTCGTGACTGCAAGGAATCATATTCGTGATTTTTATTTTATTCCCCACGTGTAAACTCACTCTTGCAGAATCCTGCTGTCCGTCGTCTGGGGGAAACCAAAGTCCATGACCTCGTCCATGAGCTCGTAGATGATGACAAAGTTGTCCCGGATGCTCTCCTCTTCCAACTCCTTGAAGTACTCACAGAAGACCTGGGCGTGGAGACATGACCCCCACGAGACAAGAGTTTTTGTTTTACTTTACAACGTTAAACTAAACTATTTTGTATTTTACCAGGTGAAGCCCACTGGGTTGAATAGCTTTTTTTTCAGAAGCAACCTGGTCACAAATGATAGCTCAACGAAGCGGCTTATCACGTTGAAATGTATCGCGGCCAAATACTCGAAATGCACGTTTTCAAATGTGGAGGGGAAAAAACAGAGGACCCGGAGAAAAATGCACGTGACCACGGGGGAGACATGCATACTCCAAATATACAACAGCAGGCGTCAGTGTCGGGATCGAACACACGACCTCCTGCATACCAGGCGAGGTAGTTAACATTTCCCCCTACCAACAGTTACTCAGCAGAAGCCCAAAGAGCCAAAACATCAGGCAGGCAGCCAGAAACAGACAACTATGTAGGTTTTCGTGGACAATTTTACAATGATTATGTAGCCTTCTCGAAAAATCAACTACACTTTAGCAACGTCAAAATTGTAACCGTTGAAAGAGTTAATACGTTTCTTGAATTCAGAGAGGCTATGAGAGTTTGAGAAGAGTGGCAAAGGGAGGGAATTCCAAGGTCACAGCAGTGCGGGGAAAGCAGCAGGCGTTTAAACCTCGTAAGCTGTTGTGTAACCTCTTCTTGGTTCTTTCGCTAAAGTCACGTAGAAGGGAAATAATAAAATAATAAAACATTTTACATAATAAAATAATTCTCACGACGTTTCGGCCACAACGCAAGCAGCCGTCCTCAGGTGAAGAACAGGTCTGTCAGGAAGACAGCGTCTGAATGAAACACCCCAGGTTTGGAGCGTATATTTAAGCTGGGTTGGAGGGGGAAGAGCACCTTGACAAATGAATTTGCATATCAAGAGGAATTTAGCATATTTATGGGAAATGCAGATATGGGATTAATCATTACTTGTGGAATGCGTAGGAGGTGAGAGGGGGGTTTCAAAGTCATATTATGCTCGTGCATTATGCAGGATTAGCAGCATCAAAGGGAGGGAGTAGAGTTAGCATTAATAAAAGAGAAGAAATGTTAATAGTATGGAGCTGCAGCAACTAAACCACCACGTAAAAAAATAAAATAGTCACGGAAGCTTGTGTTGCCTCCGAAACGTCGTGATTTAATGTATTTGTTTTCTTTTAACCTACGCGACTTTACCGAAAATACCAAAGAGTATGTAGCCTGGTTCTTTATCGGAGTGAGTGTACCCGCAATCTATAATGTGGACTGTAGCCTGGTGGCTACATTAGTGTTTTTTATATTATTTTTCTTTTATTTTTATTATTTTTTATTCACTACATATTTTGCCATTATTTTTCTATCTACGTGACTTTACCGAAAGAACCAAAGAATGTTGTTTATCCAGGTAAGCTGTTGTTTATCCAGGCAAGCTGGCAACCCCTCTCTTCATGTGTCCACCCAAACAGGTGGAGCGTATGACTGGGTGGGGGGAGAGGTGGTGTGTCAGGGTAGGAGTGGCCAAGTGGGCAACAGAGGCCTTTGCCTGATGAGGTGGTCAGGAATCTGAGCCAACACCACACACTCACACGTCACCTCGTATCCGTCCCGTAACCGTGCTTTTACACGTCAAATTTATAAGAATGTAATGAATGACCTCAATAGATAAAGTCATTACCGATAGATGTCTTCTAATAACACTGTTGCCGTTTTCATACCGCGTAATATGATAACGTTTAACGATTTTTTTAATGAATATTTAAAAAAGTAACCATTCATTGAGATGAAGTGCCATCGTCAGGATGGATTCAAACGAACGGAGCAGTCGTAATGCCGATTGTGGTGCAAGTTGGCACAGTTTTTTTACGCATGTGCACGTTGTGTCACGGTAAAGCGTGCCAAAATAACACGGACTTTCGAATTTCAATGCCACGCAAAATCGCACAGGAGATTGCGCTGAATCTCGTTCAAAAAAAAGTGTGCCGTTGCATATGCAAGAGGCTCAACCGCCACTAATTACACGATTGAAAATTTTGCCAAACAACGATTTGCCACCCAGCAATTAACATAATCATCGTGTTATCTTATTTTATATTAATCGAGCACGCCTTCACTCAAGGTGCTTAACATGGTAAAAAAAATGGTGACACAATAGAATGATTGAGATGGCAGACATATGCAAGGGTTGATGAATGAGTGACCGCGATAGAGGGGTTACTTAGGGGGCCACGAGAGGAAAAGGGAGGTAATAAGAAGGCACAGAGGGGCAGGGGCAGGGCAGAGGAAGAGAATGGGCAATGGAATAGACCTACGTTTTACGTGTTACATAACTTTGCACCAAACATCTTGCAGCGCACGAGCACTTTAGCCCCTAAAAATCTATTCCACTCATATCGTGTCGACATTGAAGGCTGAATTACTCAGAAGACCCCAAAACCAGTGAAAAAAAGCTTCATAGCTCATCAGATTCCTCCAGGAAAATAAAGATTGTGATTTTGAAACCCTTATCTGCAGCGCACGGCTTAAATGTTGCATCAATAGAAAATAACAATCTGATAAGGGATTTTAACACAAACACACACGAGTGTACGGATAGCTGGGTGCAGAGCAGCCAAATCTCACCTGGACCATCTTGTAAAGGAAGGCAAACACGAGGGCAACATTGGCATTCTTCTTGGAGGTGGCCACAACTGGAAGACCACCAAAGTTAAGGAAGCGGTGACACCAATGCACAGGCAACACACAGCAATGCCCATCTTTTCTCCTCTACTTATGATTATTATTTTGTTCATGTTTTTGTTCGTTGCGGTTGCACACGAGTCAAGAGCCGCATGGCTCACAGGGTTATACCTAGTAAATGAAACTGAAAACTGAATTATCATCTTCATCGGCTATGAGAGTGTTACATTTTGATTTAAAGCTTTCGTGACTGCAGGGATTCATCTTCTTGGTTCTTTCGGTAAAGTCACGTAGAATGGAAATAATAAAATAATAACAATAAAACATAATAAAATAATTCTCACGACGTTTCGGCCACAACGCAAGCAGCCGTCCTCAGGTGGAGAGCAGGTCTGTCGGGAAGACAGTGTCTGAATGAAACACTCCAGCTTAAATAGTCGCTCCAAGCCTGGAGTGTGTCATTCAGACTCTGTCTTCTCGACAGACCTGCTCTCCACCTGAGGACGGCTGCTTGTGTTGTGGCCGAAATGTCGTGAGAATTATTTTATTATGTTTTATTTTATTATTTTATTATTTCCATTCTATGAGTGTTCTTTATTGCAAGGCTCACGGCATACTTGGCAGCCCCTGGAGGCCTTTAGTGCGGCCCCTAACGTGGGGCCCCCGACAATACACAAATGTGAAAACACCCCATCATCGCGTGCTGACAAACTCGATGGTTTCAAACGTGTGATTATCAATGCATCATTGTTTGCATTTTTACCACGTGTAGTTAATGCAGATGTTTTGTAATAGGTGTCTATTTGGCGTTTGAACATCTAAGCACCTGTATTTCTGGCTGTCGCCTGATGAAGCTGGTTGTAATTACTGGCGAAACGTCGTACTCAAGATTGTAAATGTTGTGGCTTGGCTCTCCAACACACCGGTGGGCTGTACCAGTCATTAATTGTCACGTTCTATTTACGTGACAACCCTTACTAATTGTCTGTGTCCGGTGGTGACGGGTTTAACAACACATTTATATATTTATGCGATCCAACCCAAAATACCTGCATTATGCCTGAATTTATGTCAGACAAGGTAAAGCATTTTGTCTATACCATTCAACAACTTGATACTGGCAAAAAGGTGGCATAAATATCGTAATGACCGTCAAGCGAGTGGGCTTGAACAGGACACGGAAAAAGGGACGATGGCCGGTGGGAGAGACTCATGCTGGTGTGGGCAGCCAAAGGAGGCAACAAGCCCCAGATAGAGGTCCACCATGGAGACGGAATCATGAAATCGGCTCACGTGCAGAATTATTGCATCACAAGACCATGAGAGATGACGACGTCCTGCAGAGGGGCTTAATCCCGCAGTGGATAGATCACGGCTGACGATAATTTTATATTACATCGCAGCGTGTAAAACTGCCAGCATGTTGATGCAAAGCTGCCAACATGTCGAACAAAAGGTATGCAAAATTTAATAACTCTTGGATTAGCAGACATTAGCATGGCAACAATCCAACAGTCAACTTCACCTTAACTCGAAGTATTAATCTAGGATGACCTCTCAGTAATGCAGTCAAGAATGTCGATGTGGCTATGTGCATAGGGAAAATAAGTCGATGCACCATCAGTGTTGCACTGAAAAACTGTGTTGCTTCATATTCAAATATTTGCTATGACATGTCACCACAATTGTACAAACGGCGTCTTGTCAAGAGAATAGCAATCCATTCGGATCGTTCGCACAGCACCGCAACCTTTCGTGTTAAGAGAATTGCCCACAGACGGGGGTATCACAAAGCTACCTCTGAGATCCCTCACCTTTGAGATCCTTTAGAATGACCTCTATTCCACATAGCATAGGGCAACACTTTTCCACCCACCGACCCCATCACAGACAGCAATGTTCATCACATGGCAGTCAAACCAATATCTTTCAAGCTCAGAGCTGAAAATTTTTGACAAATGAAGTGCGGAACTAAATTTAATGCGATGGGGGTTTTTTTTTCCTCTCCATCCGTGGGTGAATGGGCTAAGACCATCAACTCACGACACTTTGACAACCCGGTTTTAACCACAGGCGGTGGCTGCTGCTTGGATTTGCATCCGGTTATACTGGTAGGAGCCTCCTGGTTCCACCAACCCACAGGGGATTATTGTGTCCGTCCGTCGTGCATCCAAAAATGTGAGTGGGGCTGGGTGGAGAGGGGAGGGTGGGGAGGGGCTGGGTGGGGAGGGGAGGGTGGGGAGGGGCTGGGTGGGGAGGGTGGGGCTGGGAAGATGGGGAGGGGCTGGGTGGGGAGGGGCTGGTTACCCCGTGGTGCCCTTATAAAACTCAACGTTTAACCTACTCACGCCGGCTTGTGCCCGCCCTCACAGTCGGGCATATTTGCGGAATACACCACGCCGCCGTTGACCCTGGCCATTGACCGAGCAACCCAACGTTCCTACCAGCTCCCTCCGCAGGAATGTGTTCTCAGAGGCGCTGGAACGGCAGGCGGCTCTACATCCCGAGTCGCCCGGCCGCCCCCCGGCACTAACGTGGCTGGCTCTCTCTTCTCTCGCCTCGACACTGCACACGGGCAAAGGATACGGTAGAGGTTGTTGTGCTTGATCCACAGGAAGCGTACGGGCCCGTGAGCCAGCACCGGCGACACCATCCCCTCCTCCTCGCGCTCCATCAGCGCCGGCAGAAAGTGCTCGATCTCCGACATCTCCACATCGCCGCGGTAGTTGCGACAGATGAGCACCTGCACAGTAAAAGTCGTTCGTCAGTAACGGCAGGAAGATACAGATTTGTAACTATTTATAGATGGAAATCGATTCTTAAAGAGTCGCAATACATGCATCGAATGGTGCGTGTAAGAACGGTTCATTGCGGAGTTTGAAGTATGCTCAATTAACTGCCCATGACTCCACAGTGTAGGGGAGGCCCTCATCATCAGGCTGTCAGATTGACATAGGCCTATGCATGTACTTGCCTATGACCAGATTACCTCTGAAGCCAAGCAGTTCTGAGCCTGGATAATGTTCAGATCTGGAGCTGCTTGGCTGTGTGGTGGGCAGTAGTAGAAAGTGCAGCAAAGTCCATTTCTGTGCAGGTGTCCCTCGCTTCGTGCGGTAGATGCATTACAAAAAAAGGTGCACAAAGTGAAACTGCACGAGACAGCTGTCTGCCGAGTAAGCGCACACAGCACACACACAACACAATGTTGTCCCACTCCTACCGCATAGCTGCATCTTAGTGAATTAAAACCGCATCATATGGCGATTTTTAGGTAGAAATATGATATCCACATTTACGTGAAATCACACAAACGGAACCCACATAAAGCCAGAGAAACCTGTACTGTATGCTCACACATCTTTGCTCCTCACCTTCACCAAACAGCATGCACCAAAGTGGTGAAGTGTGGTCAAAGAACCCCATGACCAGCAAGGTATGGGGAGGTACCACATCCAGCGGGAGATTGACAACGGATTTTTAGACAAAACATTCCTTAAAATGAAATTGGCTGAAAATCCCAATAAAATAGAACCCTCTTGAATACGAGTCTTGAGACTCAGGCTTTATTGGATAAATACAAGCATACTTGAACTATTAGTACAGCAAACAAATCCCAATATTCACGTTTTATATATTTTTTTTATTTTAGATTTCTGCAAATTATGTGGTTTGTAAAAAAAAAAAAATCCCCATAAAATAAATTTCTAATTTTCCTAAAGTTTTTTATGATTGGTTAACAGAAACTCTGGACACTATGCAGCCACCACGAATTGTACACACCATACAAGGGCATAAGGGGAAATCAATTATCGATGTTATATTCTTTGGGTCTTTCGGTAGAGCCAAGTAGATAGAAAAATAATAAAACTAATAACAATATCACGACGTTTCGATCGCAACACAAGCAATCATCATCAGGTGAAAAATATAGCGGGAGAGCTGCGGAGGCAGGAAAAAATTTATTTTAAAAATATTTTTTCCTGCCTCAGCAGCTCTATTTTTTCACCTGATGACGATTGCTTGTGTTGCAATCGAAACGTCGTGATATTTTCATTTTTTTTATCATAAATTTTCTATCTACGTGGCTTTACCGAAAGACCCAAAGAATATTAATTCCTGCAGTCACGAAAGCTTTATGTCAGGATTTAATTATTGATATTCCCGACTGATAATTGCAATAATTCATGTAACAATACAATAAAACTGACTCTTCAGAGATATGAATGTGGGGTGCTTTCACTCAGCCATGGTTTGAGAAAATGTTGTAAATTATTAAAGATAGCCTGCAACATAAAAATGTTGAAAACCTTCATTAAAGTTAATCCTTTAGAATAAATTATACACTCACCAATGCAGACTCTCATCGAATTCCAGAGTTAGGTAACAGAATTTGAATGTCTACTCTTGGCAAGGGAACAGCTTGGAGCGTCTCCTCCCGCCACCACTGTCAATGCTTTTACAAACAACAAGGAGCTCGTGAGACACGTCCAAGGCAGCAAGTAACCAGGAGACGTACTGACAACATCACTCAATGGGTGGTACAAGACCTGCGGAAGGAATTTGAAGAACCACAGTGACATTGTCGAGTGGACGTCAATAACACATTCCTGCGGAGGGAGCTGGTAGGAACGTTGGGTTGCTCGGTCAATGGCCAGGGTCAACGGCGGCGTGGTGTATTCCGCAAATATGCCCGCACAAGCCGGCGTGAGTAGGTTAAACGTTGAGTTTTATAAGGACACCACGGGGTGACCAGACCCTCCCCGCTTTTCCCACCCCCCACCCAGCCCCACCCCACCCAGCCCCACCCCATCCTCCCCACCCAGCCCCTCCCCACCCTCCCCTCCCCACCCTCCCTCCCCACCCTCAACTCCCTCCCCACCCTCCCCCTCCCTCCCCACCCTCCCCCTCCCTCCCCCTCCCTCCCCAACCAGCCCCTCCCTGCACGACGGACGGACACAATAATCCCCTGTGGGCCGGTGGAACCAGTGGGTTCCTACCAGTAAAATATCAGCGGAGTGCCTCAAAAAGCTTCGCTCCCATGAGAACCGTGGGCAATAAAACATCGCCCGCGTGTGTACACAGCACACCGTGCGCCAGAAGACGAACTCGTTAAACACCACTGAAAAGGTATCTCTCCTAGAAGAGATATATTGGTGCACTCCTTTTTGCGGTGATATAGGAGAAGGGAAATGTACTATGCTGTGCACACTCTTGAAAAAACTGTTGTGCAGATGAAAGATCGTATAGTTGCGGAAGGTATAAAATAAAAGAAATTATTTTATTTTAAAATAAAATAAATTATTTCATTTTATACCTAGGTGACTTTACCGAAAGAACCAAAGCGTATGGATTCCTGCAGGCACGAAAGCTTCAAATCAAGATTGAAAGATCGTTTAGTTAAAGCATGCCTACCTGGGCCAGAATGTCACCCCCCCGCTTCCACAGTTGAGTCACAGAATTACTTCCACGTCTACCCTCGACAAGAGTACTGCAAGCACATCCCCATCACTGTCAGCGCCTTTCCCCAACAACCAAGGTAGCTCACGGGACAAGTCTCCAGCGGGGGAATGACCACGGGATACGCTCACTGCCATCGCTCACGGGAGGACAGGGCCACAGGGAAGGAATGTGAAGATTTGACCACAGTTACACCACCGCATAGAGGTCGATAAGAGATTACTGTGTGTGTGTGTGTGTGCAATGCCTCCCAAAGCTACAATCCCACGAGAATCTTGGGGACGATCAAATAAAGGTCACTGGGCTCAGCGACGCAGCACAAGGCAACTCAACCCGACGGGGCAGGTAGAAATGCCGCCGGATGACTCAGGTGATATATTTTTTTACAGTCATCGGAAATACGAATGATTGTGCCAACCCTTCCAACAATTGAACATGTTGTGGAAGAGGAGTCACAGCGTGATCTGCGTTTTCGTGCGAGTGAAAACAATTGTTCGGATGAAAGAAAAAGGTTGCCAAGCGCAACTTGAGAGATTGACATCAGCAAAACATTAACCACAGTCACTGCATTACAGAAGAAAAATAATGTAATTTTCTGTCCATCTAAACCAGGGGTCTGCAATCTGCGGCTCTTTCAGGACTGCTTCGTGACAGCAGTCCTTAAAAGAGGCAGGGTGAGGTAATTGCGGCTCCTGAAAATTGCGGTTGTACTCTTTGGTTCTTTCGGTAAAGTCACGTAGGTATAAAATAAAATATAAAATAAAATAAATCACGTTTCGGAAGCAACACAAGCTTCCGAAATGTCGTAATTTTTTTTATATACCTACGTGACTTTACCGAAAGAACCAAAGAGTATGGGCCTCATAAAAGTCGGTCGTAGTGCTGAAGAATCTATCGCTGTACTGCGCTTCTATGCTGCCACCACACCTATGCTCACGAACCGGCACTGACCAGTATGGTGAAGTATGATCAAATAATCCCCACAATCTATACAGCGTGGCGAGGCCCGCATCCAGTAGTGTATTGACAATAGGTACGTCTAGTAGTAGGTTCTTTCGGTAAAGAACCAAGAAGATGAATCCTTGCAGTCACGAAAGCTTTAAATCGAAATTTAGTAGTAGGTTTTTACCCTTTAAACTGGTACAAAACTGACACCTTTATACAAGGCATCATGTTTGCAATAACCACAACACAAGCAGTCAAAATGCAAACAAAAAGAAACAACTCTGATAATGATAATAATATGCACCGTCCTTGAAGTTGATTGGTCCACACCCGAGACAGCTTTCCTTAGAGCCTAGTCTCCATTGGTGTTGGACCAGATGACGCCAAAAGGCGTACAACTCAAAAACAGCGCACTATCAGAGTATTGAGAGCTCGGGGTAAGCATTTACACTATGAGACCTCCTTTACCAGTGGCAAAATATAGTAGTAGGTTTGTACCATTTAAACTGGTACAAAACTGACACCTTTATACAAGGCATCATGTATAAAGGTGTCAGCTTTGTACCAGTTTAAAGGGTAAAAACCTACTACTGCTATAGGAGGTCTCATAGAATAGGTACGTCGTGATATAGTGGAATTCAAATTGTCCCTATGTTCTTATAAAAATTCCATTCTCATGGCAGGCCCAACCTTTTACTCATACAGCTATTGATGGCATATTCCCACAGAGAGGTGGAATCTGACTAAGTGGTATTAATGTTACGCACCTTGGCCAGACTATTAGTATTATTATTCCGCTTATTCACTCAGGAAAACCTCACCGATTCTCAAGACTTATTTTCAGGAGGGTCCTGCCAAATTTTTTGCAGTGGGGTCCAATGATGCTATGCATAATCCCAATTGCAATCCATAAGAGGTTTTTGGGTTAGATCGCGTAAATATATAAATGTGTGGTTAAAACCCGCCACCACCCAACACAGCCAACTAGTAAGGGTTGTCACATAAACAGAACGTGTCAATTCGTCACTAGTACAGCACTAACCGGTGTGTTGGAGAGCCAAGCCACAACATTTACAATCTGAGTACGACGTTTCGCCAGTGATTACAACTAGCTTCACCAGGCAACAGCCAGATTTGTGGAGAAGTCTGTTTCGTTCCTTATATAGAGGCGTAGAAGTGTTGACCACCCTTCTGCGCTTTTGGGGGGGGGGGGGGGGGGATTACTGAGGCAACGTACATTATGCATGTGCATTATGCGAGACCTTTTTACTTGTCCTTCCTGTGCCGAGTGGTGGCGGGTTTTGACGACACATTCATATATTTACGCGATCAAACCCAGAA